CCGCGGGGCGCGCGGGCGGCCCAGCCCGCCAGCCGCTGGCGGGGCCCTGGCCTCTGCCGTGAGTCCAGGAGGGCTGGTGGGGAGGGCAGGGAGTGGGCTGAGGGCCCCAGACCAGGCCTCCGAATCCTACCTCCACCTACAATGACGCCCCCAGCCCCCCATTGCCGGAGAGACACAGGGGGCGCTGGCGGCCACGCGTGCGTGGAGGAGGGTGGGTGTGCGCATCGCCCCTCTCACGAGAGCTGCTGTGTGCCCACAGCGCTGGATGCGTGCCCAGCCAACCAGGTGTACCAGGAATGCGGCGCGCCCTGTGCCAGGACCTGCTCCAACCCCCAGCACAGCTGTTCTGGCTTCTGTACCTTCGGCTGCTTCTGCCCAGAAGGTAAAGGCAGAAGCCGGGGGCCTCTCAAGATGTGCCCAGAGACGAGGACAGTTTTTTAAAGAGATTTTTGCTAGAGGACACATGTACTCTCCAGAGACACCGAGACAAAGAGAGGGAAAGTGGGGACTCGCCCCCCAGGGGGTTGGTCCCACTGCAATCCCTTCTCCATTCTCCTCTTGGGGTTTTGAGCACACATGCGCATGTGCCCAGTGTGAATTTCAAGCCCCCGGGTCAAGGATTCGAACTGCAGTCGGTCATGCAGGAGTCTGGCACCTTGACCACCTGCCGGCCCTGACAAGAGTACTTTTGACACCCCCACCCCAACCCTGGTGCTGACATTCTTCCACCCCAGCGCCAGCTCCCGGGCCCCTCTGTCAGAAACACCCAAATGCTCTCAGCCTCCAGTGCCCCAGCTCATGTGCAAACCCCCCGGAAAGCGAGCTGCTGCCCACCGAGAGGCTCAAGAGCTGCTAGGAAAGGGGTCTGAGCTGGGTCTGAGGAAGAGTCAGGCTGGTATGAGAGGGCTGGGACATCCAGGGCGTGCCACAGAGGCAGCAAACAGGAGTGGAGCCAGAGCAGGGAGTCACAGCCAAGGGCCCCATCGAGCAAGTCCCTAGAGCTAGGGAGGTATAAGAGGGGGGTGACAAGGGCCTGGGTCTGCCCAACAGCCCCCCCTGGGACAGCCAGGGTGAGTAGCTCAGTCCCCCCAAGCCCAGGAAGCCCCTCTCCTGCAGGGATGGTCCTGAATGACCTCTCCAGAAACCGCAGCTGTGTGCCAGTCACCCAGTGCCCCTGCATGCTCAACGGGGCGGTCTATGCCCCTGGGGAGGTCACAACAGCAGCCTGCCGGACCTGGTGAGTGCAGCGGTGGGGTGGGAGGGGGACCATGGCCACAGGCTGGCCTCAGTCCCACAGGCAGGAGGTCTGCAGCCCAGAGTGGGGAGGAGTACTGCCTGCCACTCGGGTCACCCTGTGTCCACCCACAGCCAGTGCGTCATGGGCCGTTGGACGTGCACGGAGCTGCCTTGCCCTGGCCACTGCTCCCTAGAAGGCAGCTCCTTTGTCACCACATTCGACTCCAGGCCCTACCGTTTCCATGGCACCTGCAGCTACATCCTCCTCCAGGTAGGACCACATCTTAGACTAGAGGGAGGGGGCACCCCAGGCCCCGCCGTGCTGAGCCGTCTCCACTTCCCCAGAGCTCGCAGCTTCCCAACGAGGGCACCCTCATGGCTGTGTACGACAAGTCGGGTTACTCACACTCGGAGACCTCCCTGGTCTCTGTCATCTACCTGTCCAAGCAGGTAAGAGTGCCCCACCACAGCCGGCAGAAGCTGTGGCCATGGCACTGCCCCAACTCCTGTCCCCCACTGACTGGGGCCACTCCCCCCAGGATAAGATCGTCATCTCCCAGGACGAGATCATCACCAACCACGGAGACGCCAAGCGGCTGCCCTACCAGACGCGTACGTTGGCTCCGGCTCGGCAGCCTGGCCTCGCTGGGCTGGGCCTTCGGGGAGGCCAGCAGAGGGCGGGGCGGGCCCAGGCAGCGCCCTGAGGGCTGTGTCCGTGCAGGCAACATCACGGTCTTCAGGCAGACGTCCACGCACCTCCAGATGGCCACCAGCTTTGGGCTGGAGGTCGTGATCCAGGTGCAGCCCATCTTCCAGGTGTACATCACCGTCGGACCCCAATTCAGAGGCCAGACCAGAGGTGAGACCCTGCCCCGCCGGTCACTCCCTCCCAGGGCCAGCCTGGCTGCCTCCCCCCTGCCAGGCCCAGCTATGACCAGGGCAGGAGACGGGGCTCGAGGGAGGCTCATGACGACCCTCTGCGTCCAGGGCACTGGTGGCCCACAGCACGGTGGTAGCCTCTCCCCTGGGCGTGGTTAGGGAGAGGACAGGGCGGCTGTGGGGGGGGGCCGCGTGGCGCGGGGGG